TCTCTCTCTATATTTCTTCTCTCTCTCTCTATCTCTCTATCTCTGTCTCTCTCTCTCTCTCTTTCTCTCTCTATATTTCTTCTCTCTCTCTCTATCTCTCTATCTCTGTCTCTCTCTCTCTCTCTTTCTCTCTCTATATCTCTCTCTCTCTCTCTCTATCTCTCTCTCTCTTGTACTCTCCGCTTCAAAGACCACAACTGCTAACAATGTCTGTCAACTAACAAGCAATTTGTAATTCCTACCTATAACACAGCAGGTCTCTACACGATACTTGTCAATCTCACACACATGGTGCGCCAAGTGGCTCAACTCTATTCTCATGTCTTTCACATACAACAGGTTTGAGTAAGTGTCCATGTTATCAAGCCTGTAGAGGTCGACTTTCTGCAGCTGAACAAATGCTTCTACTGCCTGGTCGACTTCTATAGAACGAGAAATACATGACTACATACAGTTTCATTTCAGTTTAGGAGCAACGATTCAGAACAAGAGTTATTTAATGCTTAGGGCAACATTTGAGTTTATATTTTTAAGTAACGATTATTAAACCATAGGTATACTAGCATTATGGAATTGTCATTCTGCTCTCAGCGACATGTTATGACACTGGCAGTAAAGTAGTAACCGAGTAAAAGCAACTACAGGCTTTTCCATTGGAAAACTTGGAGAAATTTTTGTTTATCCTGTACTCACTCAGTATTTCACATAGTAGAAACGTTTTACCAAGCCCTAAAAACTGCATCAACCGGGTATATGATAGAAAGTCATTCTCTTGATGGTTGACTACATAATATTCTGTATCATACTAGCTAGTGGAATACAAATACACTGCTGAGACCAACTTGCACAAGGAATATCATCATCTCTAACCTTGTAGGTTCTGTAAGCAGATTGCAATTTGAGCCATGATGTAGGTGCTTTGTTTGAATCCATTCTCTTGCAGGTCGAGATAGAGCCGAAGTGCCTCTTCATTCATCTGTAGCTCGAGATAAGTATGTGCAAGGAAGAACTGCCGAATCCAGTGATCCTGAAGCGTGATGCTAGAGAGCTGCAATGATAATTTGATCTGTCAAGAAAATAAGTGTTCTAATAGAACAGATATTTATAAAACTTTTTTTTAAATTTTTTTTAAAGGTTTAAATGAATTCCATTACTCTCATCACAAACAGTGAGATTGCAGGACAGAATAGGGAGGAAGATAGAGAGAAAGAGAGAGAGAGAGCGAAAGAGAGAGAGAGAGAGAGAGAGAGAGAGAGAAAGTGAGATGGATAAGTGGTATTTAATGAAACACATTTGTAGTTACACGTTAAGAGTTATTGGTAAGAGCTAGATTATTTTCACAGCACATACCATATCCTTATCAGTAATAAGTGTAGCCAACTCCACCCATGCTCCCCAGTGAGCTGGCTCTTTCTGAATTGCCTCCTGAAGGATGTTTACTGCATCTAATGTCAGATCTAGCTTTCGCAAAACCACACCGTACCTAGGGGAAACCCATCATATTAATGACACAGCCTAACACAATTTTCCATATTAGTGCCCCACACTTGAAACAGAATGATGGCTAAAGGACTGGAGGTCACTGATTTATATACCGTATATGATCGCGTAATAACCGCGGGCGCCTATAAGCC